TTCTAAAACTGAATAAATACAAAGAAGCAGAACATGATGGATAATAAAAGAACCCCCTCCCATCTTCATAATTCTCTCAAAAATACAATATAAGAAAAGAAGTGATCAGATGATGTAATCCAATTGGGTTGGCTGAAGGTTTAAAGCATATAGTATTTTCTAACAAAGAAAAAATAATTCGTATAAGGTACACGTAGCATTGGAGTGATGTCATAGCCATGATGGTCCAGGAATTATGCAAGAGGCAAGGATTTTCGTGGGGTGTGTAAACAAAAGCCAAATTAATCTTTAATGTATTGGAAATACACATTTCTACATTGTCATGATCATTGATCTATCCACCCCCGCTTTCCGCTATATATGCAAACTCCAGGTTCAAAGTAGCTCAGTTCTGATTTTTCTAGAATGCCTTATAGCAGCTTTAGGAGGGCATTATGTTCAAAACACCACGCATTTGCATTTTCTCAGACCTGCATTTTGCATATTGGCTTCTATTCTATCCAGGAGAACACAAAACAACAGCAGACTCTCCCTATACCTGGAGAAGGGTGTGCCCAAAAGCTTGATAAAACAATTTTTCCAACTATTTAGTTGGTCTAATAAAATATATCACATTTTAATAAAAGATATCACATTTGTCTGCTTTGTGTTCAGCAAGTATTTTCTACATCTGCGACACAAGTCTGTCAAAGACATACAAATCCACTGGCAGCTAATCAGTGCCAAGCACCAGGTAAATAGCATGCAGTTAAGCAGACCAGCAAGCAAGGAACAATAGGGTCACATACGCAGCAGCAGCACTAAGCTATTACATGTCCATTTTTAATTTTATGTTGTGTTCCCGAGGGCTCTCTCTCAACTTACACAGGTTGAAATCATCACCTGTTATTTTCTGCTGTTATTCTCCTAACTTAAAATAAGAGAACTACAAGACATGTTCCCAAATACCGTAAACCATAGACCAGTGATTCAATTAATCTAAATATTGGAATTATAGTTTTGTATATGATATAAGGAAAGAAGTGTGCCTGCCATTTCTTGGTCTCCTCCTCTTGTCATTTCCCACAGAGTCCCTTTCTATTCTCTTCTTGTCCCTTTTTGTTGTCTCTCCACTGCCCATCTACCCCCACACTTCATTTCTTTCATTGCTCCCTTAAATCTCTTTTACGCTGCTTGATTCTCTCTTCCTGCTTCCTCTCCTGACTCCCTAGTGAGAAGATAAAATTGCCTGCTCTTTGAACAGGTAATAAAATACATGCCTTAATCAAGGAGTACTTACCCAAGAGAAACAAATTAATAGCAACATTTTGAAAATGCATTCAAATCTATGCCTGATACAAAATCTCACAATTTGTTACTCTGACAACCATCAAAATATTCTGTTACTGTAGTAAACTGTTAGTAATTTTCCTGTTTATAGAATTTTCAGTAAAAGCATATTACATGCTAATGGCTGAATAACTATTTCTTTGTTATAATGTTGCTTCATAGTGGATCTCTGCAACCACGCTGGAGAGTAATTCACTAAACAGGGTATAATTTTCCTAAAAACCTACCATGCCATGATCGTATACTGACAATGTTTCAGTTGGTTAAATACAAATCAAGGGATCTTGTAAAATCTAAACAGCCTCTGCTCAACAGATACAGCTCTACTTCTACTTGCCTTATTTATTTTTTACACCCATGTTTATATTTGCCCTGATATATTTTGTATTCTCTTCAGCATCAACTAATTCGTATATATTCTTTACATCCAACATTTTAAGAGGGAAATATATGCTGCTCCCATCTGTACTCTGGACTCACTTCTAGAAAGTCTGAAGAAACGGAAGGAGCAACAATAAAAAATATATAGTTTAGGATTAAAGTAAATGCTTGATCTCTGCTTCTGAAATCACAGAATGAACTTTAAGCAACAATAGCTCAAAAACATGTTAAGCATGGAACCATTATAAATTCTCAAGTTATTGTCATCTGAATACTGTCAGATTACAGCAAGGCTTCTGACTGTACAACCATTGCTCTGTTACGCTAGGGACAGAAATTACACATAAACCAGTTTAAGTGATTAGAAACAAGTTTAAATCTGTAACAGAACAGAAATTCAGTGCATATAAACTGCTTTCAAAATGGCGGAAACTGTTTTAAAATAAACCTGGCTGCACATAATATCAACCTTAACAGATTTAGGTCAAACTGGTTTATGGAAATTCTGTCCCAGACCTCTTCCTGGTTTAAATTAACAGTCCTCCAGCATCCCAGGATGCTTCACAGTCCTGGGCTGGGCTGGGCTGGGCTGTCTGCTCTAGTGGAGCAGGGTTGGCCCCCTCTCCCCAGTTGGAGCATGATCACTGCTCCAGCTGGCTGAGCAGGGAAACCCTGCTCCAGACTGCCCCTTGCTGGTCCAACAGAAGGAGTGGGGGGCATGGCCTGATGCTGGTAACCCCTCCCGGGAGGGGTTACTTGAGCAATGAGAGCAGGCACATGGCCAGACCCCAGCCCTGGGCCCAAGGGGAAGGGAGGGGGAAATCACAGAGAAGCAGGGCTAGCAGGGACCTCCCAGAGGTGCTCTAGTGTCTAGTCCAGCCCCTGCCTGAGCCTGGGGCCAGACCCTATGGTACAAGCACTAGAATCTAAAGAGCAGAGAGTTTGCTTGCCAGGAGGCTCTGCACCGCTGGGGGGAAAAGTCAACAAGGCTTTCCTATGGCCAGTTTTCCCCTCCTTCCCCACAGAGGGGCTCAGCGCTGCACCCCTCCAGCCCTGAGCCCCAAGGCATCACTGCACAGAGCCCGCCCCCAACCCTGTGGTGGCAGGGGAAGGGGAAGAGGAGGAGGGGGAGAGCCCTACCTGCCGTAGCAGCTCTGTTACAGCCCAGCTTGGCCTGGGCACGGGGAGCCAGGAGCAATCCGGACACACAGCTCCCATGGCCCCAGCGTGAGCCACAGGGTCTGGCCAGGACTCAGGCAGGGGCTGGACTAGACACTAGGGCACCTGTGGAGGTCCCTGCCAGCCCTACTTCTCTATGATTCCCCCCCTCCCCACTTCACCTCAGGCCCAGGAGTGGGATCTGGCCATGCCCCCGCTTTTGCTGCTTGACCCTTCGGTGTCAACCAAGAATTGGTTTCTGGCCATGCTCCCCTACCACAAAAGCCTGGCAAGGGCTTCTTCTCACCTCCCCCTCCAGTCACACCCAGGCTGGGGTCCCTGCAGGCCAGGGTGGGGGTTTAATCCCCTCCCCAATCATACTCAGGCTGCCAGGGCCTGGCCACACCCTCCCTTCAGCTCAGCTTCCCTGCAGAAGGGAAGGGAAGGCTCTCTCTAGCCCCTCCACCCAGCTTCTAGCCTCAGCCACTGCAGGTGGCTGCATTACCAGACTCAGAAGCAAATGCCTCTTCACTTGCTTGTCGGGTCAATCTACACAGGTTAAACTAACCTGCAAAGATTGAATAAATTCAGGCTCAGACTTTTTTTAATGTCTGTACTTAGCCTTAGTGTCTTGTAATGTAAAGTGGGCTGAGGCCTATCTTTATATTATGTGCCACATTAAAATTGACAGACTTTCTTCACCAGGAAAAAAAATCCTTTCTAGGCAAGAAAACATTTAAATCCAACTCCCCTACTTTACAGCATCCATTTTGGGTAAGCTGCAAGGGGCAGAGGAGGATGGAGGGAGGTGCAGAGGCCACAGGGGTGGGTCAGGCAATGGGGATAGAGCTGAAGAAAGCAAGAGAGAGCAGAGGCTAGGAGAGGACAGGGGCTGCAAGAGGCAGGCAGAGGGGGACATAGCTGATGCAGATACAATTCCAACCCAGAGCCCCAGTAAGGGCTGAAGTCAGAGCCACAGCAGCTGCCTCCCCACTTTCCCTCCCCACCTTGTACTCAAGTACAAGAGGTGCTTTTTCCTATACTGAATGGGAAGGGGGGAAACCTTGTCTTGATTTGAATAAATTCTCTAATAATCTGGAACCTGTGGTTTTAAATGGAACATAGAAGGCAGTATCATGCTGGATACCGGGAAAGATATTTGGCATGATATAAATAGCCACATCACTTTCTCTTTCTGAATATAGTCAAAATAAGATCCTGAATCACTGCTACTAAATCTCGAGACAAAATATATTTCAAGAAATGGAAGCAGGGAGATTGTCCTATGGCCAGTTTACTAGACAAAATAACCTGGAGTTGCAATACCAACTCTCCCACTAACATATTATACGTAGGGCTCAAATTACAATCCGACTCTTGGGGGAGTCTGCGGCAGTGGCAGCCAGAAGCTGGAAGGAGCTGCCTCCAATGGAGCTGCTTAGAAAAGCGCAGGGTGGACTGGGAGATCTCGTTTCTTATGGGGGGCTCAACCCCCTCATATTTAGAACCCCGATTATATGGCCTTGGGGGAAAAAAGTGAAGTGACTTGTCCATCTATAAAAGAATATACTGCTCAACTGAACCATAGGGATTTTCTAAGGATCAATATATATTTGTAAACCACTTTGAAGCTGTAAAAAACTACAGACTGGGAACTCAAGGTATTTCTAAAATAAATTTCAAAAGGTTTATAAGAAGCACAAAGGTCTTTATTAGAATTTTATATGAATAAAAATCTCCTATTCTCAATTAATACCAAATAAGGTTGTTCCTCTCTTGGTTTTTAAGTTTCAAGATGATATCTTCTATTTATCAAAGGTTTCCTTTGGTCAGGAATGATTTTTTTAGCATTAAAATCTCCAGAGTGGCTACAAGTTGATCACTTGTTCAGTGTCATGTCAGGTTGCCAAATTTCATTTAAAGCTCATTCTTCCTAAGTTTTTTAAAATGTTATTTATCTAGAAACAGGAATAGGCAACCTCCATATGGAAAACTTAAACAGTCTGAGCTTCTGCTAGCTAAGAAACAGGTTTTTCTGTATTTGTTTTTGCATTATTAGAAAGCACAAAGAATAGGAAAATTAAGAATTCTTTAACAGACATGCTGAGGTTTGAGAAATGATGTTCTCATACCTCCATTTGCCAAACTGAAAGAAACATCTGGCAGAATCTGAGGCAGGAGAAGTGTCAGCTACCAGGTGCAAATATCTTTCATCTTATTCAGTTAGCAACATTTCAAAAGCTCCTTTCCCCATAACAATGGTCTTGTTATGCAAACTTCATGTTTCAGAATGATGCAGGGTCCCTTAGAACTTTGACAAGCATCTCTCATTTTCCAGGCTACTTTACCATAAGCCAACTTTCACTGTTTTGTGATTATTACAATTTGGTCCTTGGGAAGAACCACCTGATACCCTGAAGGTATAAAGAAAGAATACTGTTAACCAGGGGCAAATGGGGGGGAAGGGGAGAGGGGGATGCAGTGGCATAGATGAACCTCACTGTCAGGAGTAGCACAGGGGATTTTTTCTTCTACGTGCATAAATCAGATAAAAATCCCATCTCTGTCTCCCTGCTCTCGGTACCCCTGCCTTCCCCACCCTCCTCAACTGCAACAGTGCTTGCTGCTGCCACTGCTTCTGTCCCTGCTGAACCTGTTGGCCCTAACTGAGGGGGAGGAGAAGGGCTCCAGAATCACTACTACCAACTCCAGCTGGGAACAGCAGTAGTTACAGCTGCGGCAACAGCAGACTCATTCTTCCTCTCTGCCAGTCCCCAGCATGTTTCCTGCCATCCTGGGAGCAAGTACATGGCTGCTGCCATCCTCTGCTGAGCCCACACCAGCAGTTCTAGAGCTCCCAACTATGAAATGAATTGAAAGAGTTGTTGTGTTGGAGGGTGTTGGCATATGGCAGCCAGGCTCAGCAGGGAACACCCAGGAGGACTGGGCAGGGAGGAGAACCCCACACTCCTACTGCTGTTCTCTGCTAAGCTAAGCCTAGCTGGAACTGGGCAGGAACATGAAGAGCACATACCACTCCCTCATCATAAGCCTGGGACAGAGGCAGCAGCAGATGGGGGAGGGGACATGCAGATCATAGAATCATAGAAAGTTAGGGTTGCAAGGGACCTCAGATCATCTAGTCCAACCCCTGCTCAAGACAGGACCAGACCCAACTAGATCATCCCAGCCAAAGCTTTGTCTAGCCAGGTTTGGAAAACCTCCAAGGATGGAGCTTCCACCACCTCTGGGTGACCTGTTCAGGGGTTCTACTACCCTCCTAGTGAGGAAATTCTTCCTAATATGTAACCTAAACTTCCCTTGCTGCAACTTGAAACCATTGCTCCTTGTTCTGTCATCTGCCACCACTGAGAATAGCCTAACTCCACCCCCTTCCAAACCCTGCTTCAGGTAGCTGAAGACTGCTATTAAATGTCATCTCAGTCTCCTCTTCTCTAGACTAAATAAGCCCAGTTCCCCCAGTCTTTCCTCATAAGTAATGTCCCCCAGCACCCTCACCATTTTTGGTGCTCGCCACTGGACTCTCTCCAATTTGTTCACATCCTTTTTGTAATGGGGGTCCCAAAACTGAACACAGTACTCCAGATGTGGCCTCACCAGTGCTGAATAGAGGGGAATAATCACTTCCCTTGACCTACTGGCAACACATCTACCAATGCAGTCCAGTATACCGTTAGCCTTCTTGGCAACAGGGGCACACTGCTGGCTCATATTCAGCTTACTGGGCACTATAACCCTCAGGTCCTTTTCTGCAGAGCTGCTGCCCAGCCAGTCAGCCTGCAGCCTGTACTAGTGCATGGGATTGTTCTGCCTTAAGTGCAGGACTTTGTACTTGAGCTTGTTGAACCTCAAGAGATTTCTTTTGGCCCAATCCTCCAATTTGTTTGGGTCACTCTGAATCCTAGCCCTACCCTCCAGCATATCTACTACTCCCCCCAGCTTGGTGTCATCTGCAAATGAGGATGGAGGGGGAGAGACGGGGTGCTGAGGGCAGGGATAGTGGGATTGGGGGCGGGCTTCTTAACTGATGTGAGGACTTGAAAAAGTCATAGTTTCATAGTTTCATAGATTTAGGGTCAGAAGGGACCTAGTAGATCTTCTAGCCCGACCCCCTGCCAGGGCAGGAGAACAACAAAACCCCAAAACAAAAACGGGACTCAAATGAGTCCAGCCAGGTAGGCATCCAGCCTCTTCTTAAAGACCCCCAGGGTAGGGGCCAGCACCACTTCCCTTGGAAGTTGGTTCCAGCTCCTAGCCGCCCT